ACCATTACATGCATACTGCCCCTTGACCACTAAGAAAGAAAAATGCCATCAACTAAACCCTGATTTTATTTGGTAATTTACTCAATGAAGAGTACATTTCCCTGGCTCTTCTGTAGCTAGGTGCAACCTATAACAACTAAGTGCTGGGTGGGATTTCAGGAAGGCTCCTTAGAGGGCACTATGCTGGCTTCCTCCTCCCTGATGCCTGGAATTTGGGTCTGATGGCTAGAGCTTCGGCAGCCACAACCTTGAGGACAGAAACCACGCACCAAGGATGGCAGGCAGTCGGAGAGGAGTCAGGTCCCTGGTGATTTCAAGAGGTGCTGGACCAGCCCTAGGCAGTCTACCTCCCAAATTATTTTACATGGAAAAAACCCCAAACTATGTATTTATGCCACTGTTACTTTGCAGTTTATGTAATATGGACTCAGATATACTCTTAACTAATTTAGAAGAATTAGGGAAGAAAGTTAAGGAATTTTCGAGAAAGTGAGTTTGAAAATAAATAATAAAAATCACAGATGTAAGTCCAGGTCCAGGAGATCCAACATCAGACTAATAGGGGTTCCTGGAAAAGAACAGAAAAATAGAGGGGGAAAGAGCCCTGGCTGGTGAAGCTCAGTGGATTGAGCACAGGCCTGCGAACCAGAGGATCGAGGTTCAATTCCCAGTCAGGGCACATGACTGGGTTGCAGGCTGGTTCCCTGCAGGCCAGCAGGGGGCGCATGAAAGGCAACCATACATTAATGTTTCTCTCCCTCTCTCCTTCCCCTCTTAAATAAAATCTTAATATCAGACTACACCTGAAGACAACTCAGAAGACAATGCAGCAATACATTAAAAAATGATTCCTACTGGGGGGCTCAGTTGGTTAGAGCATCATCCTGTACACCAAAGGGTTGAAGGTTCAAGTTCCAGTCCCAGTCAGGGCACATGCTTAGGCTATGGGTTCGACCCCTGGTTGGGGCAACTGATCAGTGTTTCTCTCACACATCAATGTTTCTCTCCCTCTCTTTCTCCCTCCCTTCCACTCTCTCTAAAAGTAAATAAATAAAACCTTAAAAAAAGTCTCAGGATGACAACAGGCCTGGAGAATACCAGTTAAACTGGAGCAAAAGAGGGACACTTAGGAGAAAGATGTCTAGGAAAAAGGGGGAACTAATAAATTATTTGATAGGTTTGAACATTTAGGGGAAATTTTTATATGGCAGTTGTAACAGAGCAATCGATAGAATTTTAATAATAGGTTTATTTAAAAATATGCAAGTGATAAAGCCTTTTATTTTTATTTTATTGATTATGCCATTACAGTTGTTCTATTCCCCCCTTCATTCCCCTCCACCCTGCACACCCCTCTCCCACCATTCCCCCCTTTAATTTATGACCACGTGTCTCAAGTTCTTTAGATTCTATATTTCCCATACTACTCTTGCCCTCCCCATCTATTTTCTACCTACCATCTATGCTACTTATTCTCTGTACCTTCTCCCCCCTTCTTCTCCTCCCACTCCCCTGTTGCTAACCCTCCATGAGATCTTAAGTTCCATGGTTCACTCCTGATCTAGCTGTCCTTTTAGTTTGCTTTTGTTTTAGGTGTGGTTCTTAATAACTGTGAGTTTGCTGTCCTTTCACTGTTCATCTTTTTTATCTTCTTTTTCTTAGGTAAGTCCCTTTAACATTTCACATAATAAGAGCTTTGTGATGATGAACTCCTTGAATTTGATCTTATCTGAGAAGCACTTGACCTGCCCTTCCATTCTAAACGAAAGTTTTGCTGGATAGAGCAATCTTAGATGTAGGTCTTTGGATTTCATGACTTGGAATACTTCTTTCCAGCCCCTTCTTGCCTGGAAGGTCTCTTTTGAGAAATGCACTGACAGTCTGATGGGAACTCCTTTGTAGGTGACTGTCCCCTTATCTCTTGCTGCTTCTAGGATTCTCTCCTTCATTTGAATCTTGGCTAATGTAATGATGATGTGCCTTGGTGTGTTTCTTCTTGGGTCCAACTTCTTTGGGACTGTCTGAGCTTCCTGGATTTCCTGGAAGTCTATTTCCTTTGCCAGATTGGGGAAGTTCTCCTTTATTATTTGTTCAAATAAGTTTTCCACTTGTGGCTGTTCCTCTTCCCCTTCTGGTACCCCTAGAATTCAGATGTTGGAGCGTTTAAAGATGTCCTGGAGGTTCCTAAGACTCTCCTGATGTTTTTGAATTCTTGTTTCTTCATATTTTTCTGTTTGGTCATTTTTTTCTCCCTTCTGGTCCGCTCCTTTCACTTGAATCCCAGTTTCCTTTCCATCACTATTACTTTCCTGTACATTTCCCTTCATTTCAATTAGTTTAGCCTTCATTTGTTCCTCTAATTTGCGACCAAAATCAACCAGTTCTGTGAGCATCCTGATCACCAGTGTTTTGAACTGTGCATCTGAAAGTTTGGCTATTTCTTGGTCGCTTAGAGTTATGGGCTCTGGGGCTTTGAGTTCTTCTTGAGCCATTTTTGGTCTGTTCATGCCTGTTATGTATGAGGGGCGGAGCCCTAGGTGTTCATCAGGGCGGGGCCGCCCAGGTTGCTGGGTTGTGAGGCTGTATATGGGGGTGGGGTCAAAGAGGGGCAATGGCGGTCCCCTCTGCTGCTTCCTGATGCTGTGGCCAGTGCGGACCGTCTCACTGCTTACTCCTCCGCCTGGTTTATCTTCGCACGAATGTGTGACCAAAGTCAGCCTGCCGCCTTGCGCCCTCACTGGGTCTGCCCGTCACAACCCCACGCCTGGGATCCGCCAACCACTGGCCGCGCACCTGGGTCAGTCTGGTCAAGTTTTCCTGCGCAACCCCGCTCTGCCAGTCGCTGGCTCCGCCCCTCTTACTGGTCTGGCTGAACGGGTTCATTGTTGTTGGACTTCCATATGGTTCAATTTTCTGTGTTTTGGTTGCATTTTGTTTTATTAAAACTTTGTTGTCTTCAAACTTGGTTGTGCGAGAAGGCACAGTGTTTCCATCTACGCCTCCATCTTGGCAGAAGTCTCAAAGCCATTTATTTATAGGACAAAAACAAAAAGTTGTACTAGAAATAAAATGAATTCTGGCTCTTCTTGTGGCCAACATAAAGTGTCAAAAGTGTACACATTTTATTGCTTTGATGAAATTATATAACTTAGTAGTATGATAATACTTGTGTGATAAGGAGAAAATGGTCTGTAACACAGCAATTTTTTTCTACCATAATAAATATCTTAATCGTGATTGCAAGGCATGGCAGTAGAAGCTTATTATTTAGAACTAAGGAGATAAAAGGCAGAATAAACAGGGAAATTTTACAGCAATTGTCTCTGGGGGTTGGGGATGGGCTTGGGATGGGTTGGGGAAGAGTGGGACAAGAATCTGACCTGTTTCATTATAACTCTCTTGGTTCTAATTAATAATGTAACTATAGGCATGCACTGGTTTAAAAAGGAGATAAAAGTAAAAGAAACGATGGCCTATTTTTCATCCCAGGATAGATTAAAACCCAAACTTTCATATGATCGGGCCCCGCAGGGTCTAAACTCACCTCTGCAGTGTTATTTTCCACTATTCCCCGCCATACGCCTGGACCCATGACCTTCCGTCTGGAGCCCATTTCCTCATGCCTCCCACGCTACAACAGCCTTTCAGCATCTCTGCCTAACAGAACTTGCCCGCCCCTGATGGCTCAGGTCCAATGCCATCCTGCTCAGGGAGAGGCTGTCTTGAAGGGTGCAAAAACCAAGCATCTTACAGATCAGGGGCCTTGGGTCTCAGTTCCAGCACCTGCCTCTTCTGGAGAGAGCCAGCCATTGGGTTTGGTTGTGGATGAGAGCTAGGCTAGGAATCCCAGCCCAGGACTGTAAGCCACTGAGAAATGTATATAAACCTTTGTGTGAATATGTCTATTTCTAGGAAAAATAAAGCTTTCAGATAATCAAAGCGGTCAGGGACCACATAAAAGCTAAGACTCCCAAAGCAGTCTCAGGGGTTTTAACAAGGGTTCCAGGGAGAGGAATGTGGGAGGAGACACCCAGGCCCTGTGTCAATGCCTGAAACTATTCAGAACCTCCCATCACTACCAGAAGGACTGCACTTCCTCACAGCTGGCCTAGTCTCTACTTCTCTGACTCTTCTCTGCCTCTCTTTTCTGTGTGTACTGGGCCACTTGGAAAGTAAGCTCCCAAGCAGGTATTAATTATGCTTCCTAGTCGTAGAGAAGATGCTTTGAAAGAAGCAAACTCTACCCATATAACACCTCTCCCGAGGTGGGCTGAGAAGAGAGCAGAGACCACATCTAAAGGCTGAGCTGTGTGTAAAGCTGGGTGGGTATTTCTCTTGGGGTGACCTTTCCTAATCCTGCACCCCATTTCTCCAAGCCCTGTCCTCGGAGATGAACTTTAAAAAAAAAATTGATTGGGGCGGGAGGGAAGACAAACATCAATTTGTTGTCCCACTTATTTATGCACTCATTGTTTGTTTCTTGTATGTGCCCTGAGCAGGGGTTGAACCTGCAACCTTGGCAATATTGGGACAATGCTCTAACCAACTGATCTACCAGGCCAGGGGAGATTAATTTTTTTGTTTTAGATTTTATTTATTTTTAGAGAAAGAAAGAGAGGAAGGGAAACAGAAAGAGAGAAAGGGAGGGAGAAAGAGAGGAAGAGAAACATCGATGTGTAAGAGAAACATCTATTAGTTGCCTCTCGCACGACTCTAACTGGGGGCATGGCCCACAGTCCAGGCATGTGCCCTGAGCTGGAATCGAACCAGCCACCTTTCAGTTTGCTGAAAGGATGATGCCCAACCCAGCCCAGCTCTCTGGCCCCACTGGCCGACTCCTGGTCTCAGCCATTGCGGCTGCTCCTCCCCTTCTCACCAGCCCTGAGCTCCACATGTTTCCACCATGGCAAGAGCACCGCATGCCCACTATTCCTCTTTTCTCCTCACTCTCATCAACATGCTTGAGCGGGGTAGGAAGGCAGAGTCTATGGAAGGCTTACCCAGAATTTCACGAGGAAAAATGCATTGGAAGGTCCCCGCTCAAAGAGCTCCTTGAGTCCACCCTTTTTCTCTGGGAACTTATCATAGATCTGGCGGATGTCCACGGCTTCGAGGTAGGGGTCACTGTAGCTAGGGCTTGACTGGCCAATGTGTACGAACAGGTGCTTGTTGTACTGTGGAGAGAACAGCTGGTCTGAGGGCGAGGCAGGGGCAGCAGGGTAGATGGAACAGACAAGAGCTCAGATCCCAGCCATGTGACCTGGAGCAAGTGACCTCACCTCTCTGGACCTCTGTGTCCCCACTGGTAAAATGGAGACAATCCAAGGACTAAACGTGAAGCAAAGCCTGGCACCCAGTAGGTGCTCAGCAAGTTGTAGTTGTTATTTACATTATTCTGTCTTGCCTAAATACATTAAAAGACTTGCCTGAATACCTTTAGGCAAGTCTTTTTCTACCTTCGGGCTCTGCTATTCCATCTGTGAGGGAAGGCCACTGACCTAGATCAGGTATTTTCAGACTGTGCTCCACCCTCAGAGACAGGCTTGGGGGCTTCTCCAGCTACAACCAAAATCTCCTTTTCTTGTACACACTGGGCTTCTAAGTAAGAGCTGGGTTGATTAATGGGTTCCTACACTAAAAAACAAGTTTCAGAATGCAAAAATGAGACAGCCCAGCCTCCTTTAGGTGCTACTTTGACCCTTGCAGGTGACACAAGACACTGGAGGGGACAAGGTGAGGGCAGGGCTCGCTCCCAGCTGGCCTCCCAGAGGTGCGGGCCAGACACAGGAGACTCCTCAGAGCCACGGGGAAAAGATGGAAGAGCCTGGGGCTGGGGCTGGGAAGAGCAACTCTGGACTAAGAGATGGATAGGTTGGAAGGAAAAAGGACATGAAGGGAAGCCCAGAGGTCTGGGACTGAACAGGAAGGGGAGAGGGCCTGAGAGAAGGGGGATGGGGCAAAGAAACCACGGGAGGGCTTCAGGATGGAAGCAATAGGTACACAGGGAGAGGCAAGGTGAAGTGAGGAAAGAAGACGGAGGTGGCTTAAGGGAGGTAAGGAAACGGAAAGAGAACGTCAAGGGAAGGAAAGGCTGTAAAGGAATGAGAAGCCTAAATTAAAGCCCAAAGAGGAGTGGGGCAGCAGGGCTGAGTGAGAAGGCCAGAAGCAGGTAGAGCAAGAGCTGGAGAAGGCGAGGGAGCTGCAGGGTGAAAGAACAGCCGGACAGGAGGCCAGGACCTACCGTATCAGGATCTTGCTGCTGCTCCAGGAAGGCAGAGAACTCCAGCATCCAGAGCTTGGAGCTGGCCACACTGCGCCCCTGCCATGGGGGTGCTGGGGGTGCTGAGGGCGACGGGGTGGGTCCTGCAGCAGACTCAAACCCTGCAGGCAGTGGGAGAGGCACATGGGATCCAGTTCACACACACCCTCCCTGCCAACACCCTCTGTGAGGACTGCAGGCCCACGGGCGAGACCCTGTGCTGGCAAGGGGATCTCCTGTCTCCCCTAAAAGGGCTCTGACACGGGTGTTAGAGAAGCATATAAAGCACTGGGTGGGGGGTCCTGGAACAGCCCTGGTGGGGAGGTACAACTCAGATCCTTGGCCCACAAAACTACACTCAAGCGAGACTACGTGCTGGATGGGAGCAGATGTCTGCTAGGCTAAGAGGGCTTCCACAGCAGGGTCTGCCAGGTTCTCACCCTTGAGGAGCCTCTGGTTCAGCAGGGAGCCAGCCAGATAAATCTATAATTATAGGCAATGATGTAAGCACCACGAAAAGAGAGTTCCTGTTTGGTTCCCTGCTGTCTCTGTGGCACCTAGAACAATGCCTGGCTTAGAACAGGCACTCTGATGCGGGTGTGCTGACCAAGGAAGTCGCAACGGGGTCAAACTGATCAGGTGTGCACCCAGCACCACAGAGGAGCTCCTAGTCCTATTCGGGGTGGTCAGAAAAGTTTTTTCCGGAGGTAATGTCTAAAAAGAGTTTGGCAGTAGACGGCAGCAAGTGAAGCCAGAGAAAGCATTCCGAGCACAGGACACAGCAGAGGTCTGGGGGCTGTGAGATCCTCTGTGAGTTTGGAAACGCAAGTCTGTGGTAGAACTAGAGAGAAGGGCGGGCTTTCACCAGTGGCAGAAAATAAGGCTGAAGAGATGGGGCATCCGGCCAGACATGCACGAATTCGGCCTGAGAGCTCATGAGAGACTTGAGGATTTTAAGCAGAGCAGTAAAATGCTCAGATCTGCATTTCGAAAGATCCTATTCCAGTTTGGAGGAAGGTTGGGCAGGGTGAGGCGGACCAGAAGCACAGTTCCTGCAGGACCCATGTAAAGCAGGGCAGTGAAGAGAAGAGAAGGGATACAGTAGGGACATGAAGTGAGCACAAGCCCAGGCCATGGTGACTAAGGGGGTGAGAGCAGTGAGGCCAACCTCCAGATGACACCAGCGTTCCAGGCTGGGAGTCTGTTGATGAATGGGGCCTGCGTGCTGAGGTCGGAGGAAGGAGACAGAAAAGAAACAGTAGTCAGAGGGGTGGTGGAGGGACTGGGTTAGACAGCGACACATTAGCCTGTGCTTAACGCATCAGCTAACTGAGAGCCAGACAGGACACAACACACAGAGCACAGGAACAAACCACTCACGGGTGATGTGCCCCCGCCCCACCCCCTGCCACAGATGACAACAGTCAGGAGCTGGGTGGGGTGCCCCTGACCTGGACTGGGCAGAGAAACCTGAGCCACGGCCCAGAGGCAGGGAGGGGTAAGAGTTGGGGAGGAAAAGAGGGAAGGGAGAGAGGAGAAAGGTGAGGCCAAAGCACCACTGCAAGCACCACCAGAGTTCAGATGGTACCCTGAATGCCCCAGAGAGTCATGAAAGGGTTTTACACCCAGAAGCAACATGGTGAGCTGGGTGCTTTAAAAACACAACTAGGTGAGACTAGGCGAATTACAGGGTGAAAAGACGAAACTGGAGACCGAGACCAGGAGCCAGAGCTGGTTAGAGGGCTGCCGTAATCTAGGCAAGATCTAGGAAGATAGGAGCAGACAAGCAAGGCTGTGAGAACCGCAGAGGGTGGACTGCGCAGGGCTGACAGCAAGCAATGCTGAGGAACCTAGGCGAGTGGCAGGGCCGGTCTCAGAGTAGGGAGAGCCAGGCCCGAATGTGGGCAGAAGTAGCTCCCCATGCCCGAAAAGGGTGAGCATCCTGTCTAGCCCTGTGTAGTGGGAAACGGTGAGGAACCCTCAAGAGAAAGAGGCAAGGACAAAGAGGGTCACCTGAGCCGTGCAAGGGGATGAGCTCCTGTGCGGCCCAGCTGGCTGGACCTTTGCCTGCCCCACCCATGCTCCCAGCCTCTTCCCAGGAGGGTGCCTTTGCTAATAAAGGTTCCTTTTCATGGAGGGAAGTTTGAAGGAGAGGATTACAGGGTCACCAAGAGGGAGGCCACCTCAGGCTCCACGGTGTATGAGGCCCATCTGCAGCCCACCCGCAGCACACAGGAGTCTCAGGAAAACAGCACCCAGGGTGCAGGTACTGCCCTTTACACTGTGCGTGCCCCTGCAAGCCTGAGCCCAGTCTGGGAAAGACAATGGGCAGCCTGGGCAGCAGGAAGGGACCCACACATGGAAGATGAGTGTGTGCTTGGGAGGGGAAGGGGTGGAGCCAGGAGACTGGGGTGCATGGTCTCAGCACAGACCAGGGAGGCACTGAGAGACAGAAGCTGCAGGGGCGCAACGGGCAAGGGAGCTGTGCACTGCCGACCCACCTGATAGAGGCAGTGAAGGCTGGACAGTGTAGGTTTGTTGAGAGAAAGGTTTCACACTGTGGGAGGCAGGAGAGAAGGGGTGTAAGCCTTGGGCAAGGTGCAGCCCCAAAGCCTTCAGCAGCGTCCATCACTCTGTGTGGCAGGCCCTGGTGGTCTGGTCATCAGTGGCTTTGGTGGGCTTTAGACCCCCATGTCCTCTCCTGCCAACTCCCTCAGGTTTCATGGTTGAATCACAGAAGCAGCTCATCTACTGAAAAACCCACACCTCCCTGAACCCTTCCTCCCAGGTCAACCAGAACCCTGGTTCCTAGCCTACTTCCCTTAGGGTCCCAGTGCTGGCCCTGCTATACATGGACAGACTGCTGTTTCAGCAAATGTACCTGAGGTGTACACAATGTAGACCAAACTGCCACCTGAGACCAGGAAAGCCTGATCCCCAGCTCAAGGCTATAATAAAAGGTGGACCCCAACCGTAGTCCTGTCCCTCCCTGGGGCCCAGGCTCAACTTCCTGAGCTTATGGACTCAAGGTCAGCTCAGTGAGCAACTGGTGGCAGGCCATACTCACTCATGGGATGTTCCAGCTTGGCCCGGCAAAGCTCCTTGCCAAAACTGAGGAGGCAAAAAGTGTAGAGTCAGGGAAGCCCATTTGCATGAGGGCCCTGGTGCGGGGAGACAGCACAGAGGCCTCAGCTGGAAGGTGAGGCTGGAGCCTGGACCAGTGGGTGGCAGGGCGAGAGTTAATGCTACTGTCTAGTACTTGGCAACAGCAACACCCCAAGGTGAGTCTTATGGAACTCTAGTCTTTGGACATGCTCTGGTTCTATGGTGCTCCTCGGGAGAAACATCCACTTCAGTAAACAGGAGCTCATATGCCTCTGTTAGAGGCCCATGCATAGCAGTATGTGAAACAGTTCTGGAGTCAGAAATCCTACTTTGCTCTAGGTGCCCTAGACCTACTTGTGCACAGAATGACTTTGTGCAACCCTGTGGGGCTAGTGCTCCCTGGAACTCGCTCCAAAAAAATGGTAGACAAAAGCTTCACGAGCATAGGACAGGGCCTGTCACTGGCCCCAAGGCAGCTCTTTAAGACCCACTTAGTTCCTAAGCCAAGAAAACCCTGTGAGGACACCCCTGTGAGCCTTTCTGGACCATTTTCAAAGTGTGACCAACCTGGCCACGGCTGAGGCCAGGTCTCAGGCAGAAACATTTACAATTTGAACAGGAGTTTGTTCATGGACATCAGCCCTCCAGCTGGAAGGAGAGTGGTGCTGAGTACCTGAGCGGGGGTGGGGACAAGGCCAGCAGTAGGGCCACTCGGGGTCATGCTGGTGCTGCACCAGAGCCTTGACTAGCCCCCGTCCTAGGACTTCAGCCTCCCCTTCTGTAAATGGGGCCAACTCTGTAGAGCTTCTTGGGTGGTCAGCTAATGTGAGTGGCTTTGCCTCCTGTGGAAGGTCTGCCACGGCCCTCAGGAAGGCGGTTCCAATACCAGCTGAGCCGGGACCCAGCATGGCCCTCTGTCCTTGGTCCCTCCTTCCCCCAGCTCTCCTGGCCTGCGAGGACTCGTGTGAGAAATGTGCTCTGGCCACTGCTGTGGCTCCGCAGGAGGAGGAGGAGCGAGAAGGAGAGGACTGGTTTGGCCTCTGGCTCCAGGCAGCCCCACTTACCCCGGAGACTGCTGAGCAGCCAGGGCCCCGGGCGAGGGCCATTTTACTGTGGAAGGCTGTGGCGGAGATGATCTGGGCGGATGACATGGCAGCCATGCTCTGCAGGGCCTTGTCCTTAGCTGCCTGGTCCTAGGGAAGACAGCGGAAGGCACGTCCTCAGCAGGGTTACTCTGGCAGGCTGCGGTGAGGCAGGGAGGGCCTGTGACCAGGGAAGCTGTTCCACTGCCAGTGGCCAGAGCCCTGGACTAGGCCCAAAGGGACCAGGCTTACATCCTTGCAAAGCTATTACTTTGTTTCATGACTGAGCAAGTCATGTGGTTTCTCGGATCAGCTTCCTGATCTGTCAAAGAGGCATAATCCTTGCCCTTCCAATCTGATCAGCACTTAAAGAGACTTTGGAGACCAGGTCTCCATATCTTTCAATTTACTAACCACAGGGCCACTTTGAGAGCAGGAACAACTGATTGATTGGTCTATCTATCTATCTATCTATCAGACTAAAAAACAACTTTTTATTAAAGTATAGTCAGCATACAATAGTATCTTAATTTCAGGTGTACACAATAGTGATTTGACATGTATGTGCCTTATGATAGCTCCACATGAAGTCTACTAACCATCTGTCACAATGCAAAGTTATCATAATATATTACTGGCTATATTCCCTGTGCCATATACCCTGTGGTTTATTTATTTTAAAACTGGAAGTTTGTACTTATCATTGCCCTTCACCCTTTTCACCCTCTCCCTACCCCCACCCCTCTGGGCGACCACCAGCTGAGAACAGGAACCTTTCAGTCCTTGCTCACCTCTGCACCTCTGGTGGCCAGGCCACACAGGGTTCCTGCCAGATGGTACTTAATCATTCGTCAGATCCCCCGGGACAGTCCCACAGACCGTCTGGAGGCACAAACAGCCTCCTGTGCCTGCAGTGTCTCAGCCTTGCCCTGCAGGTCTCCCTTTCCCTGCGGGTGCCTGCAGCATTGCCCTGTCCGTTACAAGTCAGAACATAAACACTGGCTGTCTGCTCTCCACGGGTCCAACCTGAAGAATGGATTCGCCCTGCACAGGCTCTAATAAATAAGCACTCGTGACACCGCTAACAATAGTAACAATATTACAAATAATTTTGTTTACTTCTATAAGCCTGGCTCCTATCCTGAGCTCCCCAATGCCAAAGGTCTTTAAAATCGACAAGACAACATTCTTTCCTATATTTCAAAAAAGCTTAATAAAAATCATGTCTTTGTCCAAAATAAAATCACATATACAGACTGGAATACCCAATACTGTTTGGTGTATATGGCTTTACCGGGACTAAAAGGCTGGGTCATGTCAACTCTAAAGCTCTGATTAGAAATTCTACGTCTTGCCCTGGCAGAACGGCTCAGGCAGTTGGAACGTCAACCTGACATGCCAAGGCTATACATTCAATCTCAGTCAATGCACTTACAAAAACCAGCCAGTGCCCTGACCAGTGTGGCTCAGTTGGTTGGGCATGTTTCTGTGAAGTGAAGGGTCACTGGCTTGATTCCTGGTCGGGGCACGTGCCTGGGTTGAGGGTTGGGTCCCCGGACGGGGCGCAGGTGAGATGGAACCAACAGATGTTTCTCTGTCTCTTTTTCCCTCCCTTCCTGCCTCTCTAAAAATAAATAAAATATTCTTTTAAAAACCTAATGGCATAATCAATAAAATATATATTTTTAAAAAACAAAAAAAAAAATCAACCAATGAATACATGAATAGGTGGAACAACAAATCGATGTCTCTCTCTCTCTCTTTGCTTTCCTCTCTCTAAAAGTCAATTTTTACATCACTTCTCGGCCTTTTGGCTAAGATCAAGTGTAGTATCTGTTCTTATCAGTTTAAAAGTCGATTTTTAAAAATGTAAAAAATAATAACATTAAAGAAGGAGAAAAGAAAGAAAGTCTACGTTTTAAGGAAAAATGAGCACTATGTAACCAGACCTAGCCTGAGTGATACCGAGTGAAGGGCCCTGGCCAGGTGGCTCAGCTGGCTGAGTGTCAACCTGCCCCGCCACAGCTGCACGTTCTATCCTGGTCAGGACTCACACAAGAAACCACCAGTGAGTGCATCAGTAAGTACAATAACAAATGGATTTTTCTCTTTCTCACTCAGATCAATAAATTAAAAAGGAAAACAAAACAAGAACTGATGGAGGTCCTCAAGGCTCACAGGCACTTTTGCACTCAGTCCCCAGGGTCCCTTGAGGAAGGCATCACCGTGCTTTCTGAAGGCTCAGAAGGTCCAGGTGACCCACCCAGTGTGCCAGCACCACGCAGCTGTGGGGCCAGAATGCAACAGGCCCTTCCACTTGGCCTCTCAGGGACTTTTGTTGCTCACTTGGCAGAGCTGGCCCACGGAAGATCAAGAACACCATCTCACTTGATTTTGAACATCGCAGCACTCCTGTGAGGCTAGCAGGACCAGAAACATCCCCATTATAAGATGAAGAAACTAAGCTGAGAGAGTTAGATGCACTAGGGTACTGACCATGGTGACAGTCTGCCCTGGGAGCTTGGTCTGGGTTGGCCTATCAGTGCACCTTTGGATCTCTGCAGGTGTGGTAGGGCTGTGCAAAGTGGGGATGAGGAGGTATGTTGGGTTTTGACAGCATGGGAGTACACCACATTGGGCACAGGACCCAACTCACAGTGGTGGGCTCATCCCCAACCCACTGTCCTTTTGAGACTTAAGGTGGCCCGGCTCTCAGGCTGTCTAATCATGACAGGGAGCTAGCTAATAAGAAGCACGAGATGTGCCTCTTCCCCAGGACACTTGCCCTGCTCAGAGGCAAAAGCCACAACCCGCCTGGGTCATCGGCCCAGGCCTTCTCCATCCAGGACATGAAGAATGCGCAGGTTATACCCCAGAAAGCCCGCAGACCCCGCAGTTACAACTGCATCATGAGGCCACAGAGCTCCAGCCACTCGCATCCCTTCCCGAGAGTCGACCTAAGCAAGGCACCAGGGTTCCCAGAACCACATGCTCCATGGGTGGAGTGGGGACCAGGGGAGAATGAGAAGGACATTATGGGGAGTGACATCAGTGACTGGGCTACAGAGTCAGGGAGTAACTGAATTTTGGAGGGGATCTCAGATACTTCTTTGTTTAATGCTGTCACTTATAGATGGAAAGCTGACTGGAGCTTAAGAAGGGGCAGTGACTTGCCTAAGCTCACTCAGCACAAGGGCAGAGCCAGACCAGATTGGGCCTAAAACCTGGAGGATTTCTGCCTGACCTTGCTCTGAGACCCCTTTGAGAATATAACGAAATCCTCAGACCAGTCTCCATGGGAAAATACGTAAGGGTGAAAATCTGCATATTATTTAGGGGGCTCGTAGCTCTCCTTTATGTCTGTCTAGTGGTCCACTCTCCCAAGTTAGAGCCTGTGGACAAGGATAGGTGCAATGCCTCCAAGCAAACATGAGCTACACAGCCAGGCTGCAGTGGAATTAAAATTTCCCCTTAATGACTCAGAACACTGGAAAGATTGTTCTCCATTCTGGTCCTCGCCTGGGGCCCCAGTGAGTCAGAGGCAGGCCGCTGAGGGGAAATACAGGGCAAGCTGGGTTCCGGGACCCTTGGGGTGGTCTGGAGGTACATGTGCCAGCCTGGCAGGAAGGGATGGACAGCTGAGGCCCAGCCAGTTGTCCAGGGACAAAGGGGACTAGGGACAGCTGGCTGATGCCTGGGGAACAGAGCTGAGTCGGCAGCGGCGTGTGGCTCCTCTAGGAGTTCCCACCCACTCACTCAGAGCCTCTGGAGTTGGGATCACGGGAGCATGGACTACTGGGGCCACGCAGGACCTTCGAGACCATCTATCCCAGGGCTTTTAGATGAGGTTCCAATGTACTTTTGAGGTTGAGAGCCATGGGTATTATAGGTGAATTGGAGGAGGGGGTCTCTGGCTTCTGGCCTGCTCCTCACCAAAGGAGCTTTGACCAGAGTAGCTCCTTTGATAACATATTGGAGTGATATTTTGTTTGGGAGGGAAAACCCAAAGAGGCTTCTACTGCTTAAAAAAATGCTTGTAAACTGCTGGTCTTAGTCTAATGCCCCCAAATATTAGCACTTGCTGCCAAGTGGCTGAGCAGCCTCTGCTGTGAGCACCTCCGTGACTTGGCCCTTCCTCCTAGCATTCACCACAGGGGGCCCCAGGCTCCCAGTGGGTGGAGAGGCCTGAGTCCTGTGGGGAGCAGGGCCACCCTGAGGGGATGCTGACAGCAGCTGACCCTCCACAGAGCAGTCAACTGCCACTTGGCCCTCAAGGAGGGGCTGATCCAGAGAGGGGAAGGAACTGCCAGTCCCAGAGAGCAGGGCACAGGCTGGAATTCCACCTGCTCCCGCAGCAGCATCCAACCCGGGCAGGCCACAGCAGGGCCTCCCATGCCTGACCACTGGCAGGCTCTGGCTAATGGCACCAGCCAGACGCCTGGGGAGCTCTCAAGGAGTGGGGTCTAGACAGTCATCTCCTGTGATCTGGCAGGGGTGCTGCCCCGGAGGAAAGGAGGGCACAGCAGAGGACTGGCCTGTGGCCCCCGGCAGTCATGCACAGCTCCAAGGTCAAGTGTCCCTCCCTGTGTGGACAGGAGGTTACAGGCTAAACTCTGCCCTCATGAACGCCAAGAAGCATGCTGTCTCCACATACAAGCAGTCAGGCACTGAACACAAAGGGAAGACTTTTCCTGCTGGAAAAATAGCCCCAGCTTCCTGAGAGCAGCCCATCTGTGCCCCAGTCCTTCCTCTCACTGCTGCCATCGGCCTTACCTTTAGCTTGGCCTGGATCTCACGGGCTTTGCGACGAGCCAGCACCTGGATGTGGCTGGAGACCTATGGCAAGAAGAAAGGGCTCCTGACCCTACTTCCCAGATGGCCTGTACACCCAACTCTGGCTTCCTGACCCTCAGCCCTCCACAGACCTTAACCCACATGGGTGGATTGAATGAATAAATGGATGCATGAATGAGTGAAAGGAAGTGTGGCCCTCAGTCCTGGCTAATCCAGAGTTTAGCAATAAATAAAAGTACAGTGCCAGTGTTTCACTTTCTGTTCTCTGGTGTCCTGGAGAAGGACAGGGAGGGGGCTGCTAACTTCCCAGGAAGACAAGGGACTTCCTCCTAGGTGACAGCAGCAGGGACGGCAGGGAAAATGAACTGTCCATGGCACACCAAAAGGAGACAACCCACCCAAACTGGCCCCAGTGAGAGCCGACACTTGGTCCTGTGGAGGACCTCACCCACCCTGGGAGCAGGTGAGTACTGGCTACCTACGCTGGGGACCCATACCCGTCTCCCAGGCTCACCTGCTTTCTGGTGCGGGTCTTCCCTGTCCGGAGCTTGATGTAGCGGGCAATCAGCTCATTCCGGCCTGTGGAGACACCAAGAGTCATCAGAGGGAGGAGAAGTACAAGAAGCAGGCAGATGAAAGGGTCCGAGAGGTCTCATCCTACATCTTTCTGCCCACCTCCAGTGGGTACTTAGAATGAAGACTCTCCGAGTTCCCGCTGGCCGTCCTTGGATCCTAGGGATCTCCCAGCAGCCAGAGGACACTGAGGCCTCTCTGGGGGGCTCGGTAGCCTGAAACGAGGAGGTGCCAAGGCCGTGGGCCTCCGGCTGGATGCACAGCCTGAGAAGCCCTCTCAGAGCTCCCTCCTTATCCACGCTGGCTGCCCCTCACCTCTGCCCCACAGCAGCCTGACAGCTGCCCCTCCGCTCCCACCTCCTTTTGGGGCCTTCTGCACATTTTGGGAAGCTGCGAGGAAATGCCTGGGCCTTGGCCCGCCCCCTGTGCAACTTCCACAGTTCCCACCACCTCTACATATGAGCAGGCCTTCCAACATGCCTTGTCCTGTTTGGGGGCTGCAGGGAACATGGAGGACATAAGTGCTGAGACACTGGGTATGGCCAGAGAGGAGGCCCGAGGCCCTTAACTCAGATAAAGAAAATGCAGGCCATCCACATTCCCAGCTCCATGGCTCTGAGGAGACCAGTCAACAGTAACACAGTGCTCCCCTGGCCCAGCCTCCTAGAGGCTGACACCACATCGGAGGGATCCTGAAAAACTGTAGGGAGCCACCCATGTACCCTGCTATCACAAATGAGATTATGAAAAGCGGTTACCTGTGCCAAAGAGCGCACCACCCAGCTGAGGAGGGGCGTGTGCCCACACAATGGCTCCAGCTCGTGACAGGCAACATGCACTGTGTTCTGAGGACAAGGGGCCAGTTCAGGCTGGGTGGTCAGGTGAGCCTGCAGCTGGACCTGGACCACTGGGAGGATCAGACCATAAAGAAGGGCATTGGGTTGGGGAAAGGGAGGCCTGAGGCAGCAGCTCTCACTTCTTTGCTTCAACTCTGGGTCCAGAGACCACAGCCAACAGACTGCTCTGACCTGTGGGGCACTGCTGAGCCTGGATGGCTGAGACTGTGAATAAGGCAGCTGCTGATGCAGGGGGAGGCAGGGCGAGTGGGCCAGCTGTTATCTGGGTTGTAAAAAGAGCACACAGCAAGGCCATGCTGGGCCCCCAGCAGACCTTTCCCCTCTGCCAAGGCTGAATTAAGAGGCCACCCTCAGGAAGTCTCCTCTGCCAGAACACTTGCTGGCCTGGAAGCACTGGCCTGTGTCAGGAGGAGTGGGAGGACGGCCAGACCCTGGGGACACCGCCCTGTGGGCTGGTCTGCACCTAAAACCCAGGTCCCGCAAGATACCTCTTCTCAAAGCTTTCCAGGGAGAGGTATTCCATAGGCGCCTTTGGCAGTCCAGTGAATGTCCTACCCTACGTCAAACTAGGGGCACTCATGCTGCAGTTACGAGGTGCTGTTTTCACTGGTAAAAGAAGTCACCACCACCAGGACCGGAAGGGGTCCCAGAACTGGGAGGTGGGAGCCAGGTTCTCACTCAGCGGCTCCACACACGGGCTGCGGGACCTCTGCAAGTCAGTTTCCTCTAGGGACCTTCAACCAGCCTTCTCTCTTTAAGCCCAGGCACTTTAAAGGCTTTCCCCCAGATTTTCCCAATTGAATTTTTACAGACTTAGGAAACAGAGTTGCACTTTGCCTCCATGACAGCTCTCTATGGCTCAGCTTCCTTTTTTGTAAAATGAATGGTACATACTCCAGGTCCATGTAGGCAGTCTGGCTCAGAGACCAGGATGGGCAGAGAGAAGGCTCCTGAGAGTCAGTGTGCCGGCTGCAGTGCTGATGGACATGTTATTAAGGAGGACGAGTTGGAGAGTCATGGAGTTAGTGGGAAAGCTGGAGGGATGGGGAAGGCAGGGGACACTCTAATTTGGAGGGAGACCATCTGGGAAGTGGTTCTAGCACTGCTTCTCCAGCTCACACCTCGTACACAGGTAGCAGCTTATCAATTCTCTGTCTTTTCCTGTTACATTCCCAGTACCTCAGAGGAAGGGGCCACATCATCTCCACTCAAGTCTTTATCTCCTGGCACCTATTTGTCAAATAAATGCATGAAGAGATGAGTCCACTAGCAAATCCTGATGGCTCTATCTTCAAATTCCATCTAGAATCCAGCCACTTATCACCTCATCCTACACAATCCGGCCGCCCTGCTCTCCGACTGGACTCTGGTGAAAGCCTTCCTCCCAACCTCCCTCATCCCAGTCTCTTCTCGGCACAGTGGCCACAGCGATCCTATGGCTCGAACACCCTCCAATGGCTTCCCATCTTCCTCAGATTAAAGTGTCTATGCCCCTACAATGTCCTAGAAGCCCCCACAGGATGTGTGCACAGTCCCCAGCTCTGCCCCTCTCTGATCTCATGCCACCCACCATCGGGTCTCCTGGCTATTCCTGGACCATGCCAGGCCCACTCCCACCTCAGGGCCTTCACACACCCTGTGCTTCGCCCCAGGGACCCATGTGTCCCTGATGGCTCCTCTCCTCAGATTCCACTGTCTTGGGACATATTCCCTGACCACCCCCTACTGAAAGCTGAGATCACCTCCCACTCACCCTCCACTGGCCACAGTCCCTGCTATTCCCCACAGCTCCCTCTAACAAGACACGGGACCCACATACTCGCCAAGAACGCTGTCTGCACCCCACTCCCATGGGAGGAGAGCCCCCAGAACGGCGGTTTTCGTCAGTTTATCTACTTATTTACACCCTGTGCCTAGACGCTGCCTGCATGTGCCAGGCTCCCAGTAAATACTTGTTAAATGATGCATAAAATAAAGTGCCAAGAACAAAATAAAAAATCAACAGTAACCCTCAAAACCAGAAATAACCATGATTAATGTTTTGGTGACTGTCTTTCCAGGGTTTATTTTCCATGATTATGTGTCTTGTAAAATGTCATGATTTTGTATATAATATTTTATAGTCTGTTTCTCAAAACACTTTATTGAGTAGGTCCACAGCATCTCTCTTAATTATATACTATTCTGATGTATTAAGGAATTATAATATATTTAAGCAGTCTTTCACTTTTGGACAGTTAGTGTATAGTTACATTGCTATTAAAAATAATGTGCCTAAATCTTTATTTTAAAAAAAGATAAGATGTTGGTCTGATGTCCCATTAAATGCTTTAGCTTCCAAGGGCAGGCTGTGAGTACAATAAAGGAAATAACATTTTATTACTTCTGGTTAGCCTGACAGAGTTTTCAAAGCGCTTTCTTAGACCCATCTCATTTGAGTCTCTATATAGGAGCACATCCAGACTTTTGTGGGGCTAAAGCATCTATAAACTGGAAGGCTCTCTTTAAGGAAAAAAATTTTAAATATAAACACAAAATTATCTTAAGATCATTTTAGGTTTAAATGGAGATGTTCTTTCTTTTTAAGTATATTTTATTTATTATGCTATTACACTTGTCCAATTCTTTTTCTCCCCTTTATCACTCTTCACCCAGTACCCGCATTCCCTCCAGCATCAGTTCATGTCCATGGGTCATACATGTAAGTTCTTTGGTCTCTACATTTCCTACACTAACCCTAACCTCCCCCTATATTTTGTACCTACCAATTGTGCTTCTTATTCCCTGTACCTCTCTCTCCCTTTCTCCTCCCCACAGATAACCCTCCCTATAATCTCCATTTCTGGGATTCTGTTCCTATTCTAGCTGTTTGCTTAGTTTGTTGTTGTTTTTTAGGTTCAGTTGTTGATAGTTGTGAGTTTGTTGTCATTTTACTTGCTCATAGTTTTTATCTTCTTCTTTTTCTCCGATACATTTCTTTAACATTTCATATAATAAGCACTTGGTAATGATGAATTCCTTTAACTTGACCTTACCTGGGAAGCACTTTATGTGCCCTTCCATTTTAAATAATAGCTTTGCTGGATAGAGTCATCTTGGATATAGGTCCTTGCCTTTCATGACTTGGAATACTTCTTTCTAGCACCTTCTTGCCTGCAAGGCTTCTTTTGAGAAATCAGCTGATAGCCTTTTGGGAATTCCTTTGTAAGTAACTCTCTTTTCTATCTTTATCCTTAATCTTTGGAAATTTAATTATGATGTCTCTTGGTGCGGCCCTCTTTGGGACCAACTTGTTTGGGACTCTTAGAGCTTCCTGGACTTGTATATCTACTTCCTTCACCAGATTAGAGAAGTTTTCCTTCATTATTTTTTCATGTAAGTTTCCAATCTTGCTCTTCCTCTTCTCCTTCTTGCACCCCTACAATTTGGATCTTGGAATGTTTAAAGTCTTCCCAGAGGTTCCTAAGCCTCTCTTCATTTGGTTTGGATTCTTGAGTCTTCATTCTGTTCCTGTTAAATGTTTATTTCTTCCTTTTGTTCCAAATCATTGACTTGAGTCTCGGTTTCCTTCACTTCACTGTTGGTTCCCTGAATACTTTTCTTTATTTCATTTTTCATACCTTTCACTTCTTTATGTTGTGACCATACTCAATCATCTCTGTGAGCAACCTGAATACCAGTGTTCTGAACTCTGTATCAGATAGGTTGGCTATCTACACACTGCACAGCTTTTATTGAAGTTTTCATCTGTCCTTTCACTTGGCCCATGTTTCTTTGTCTTGGTGAACCTGTTACGTTGCAAGGGCCAGAGTCTTAGGTATTCCCCAGGGCAGGTCAACTTGCTACACCATGCAGCGCTATATGTGGGAGAGGGGTCAGAGGGGGAACAATGCCACTTGCTGGGCTCTCACCGTGCTTTCAGCCACTTCTTCTGCTTCCCGCAAGTGAATGGCACCCTTCCAGGTGCTGCTCTGGTGTTGATTCCCAGGTGGGTGGGCTTGTGTATGTTCTAAGACCCTCTGGACCCCTCCAATGGACTCTCCTGAGAGACTGGCAGCTTATCCCACCACCACAACCCCCACAGGTTTTTAGAGACAGAGGTTATGAGGTTTTATTTTCCAGGAACTGGAACCCTGGGTTGCATGGTCTATCTCACTCCCCACTTGTTCCTCCCGGTTTATCCACACACAAGTGTGGGACTGCCAGCTGCTGCCTCACCCACCCAGTCCTCTGGCCACAGCCTTACCATGTGTCATCTCTGCCCCAGCTGCCAGTCTCCGCCCCTATCAGTCTGGATGAACGTTTCTTCCTTAAGTCCTTGGTTGTCAGACTTCTATACGGTTCGATTTTCTGGCAGTTCTGGTTCTTTTTTTGTTTTTAAATTAGTTGTTGTTGTTCTTTTGCGAAGAGGTGAATCTACCTATGCTTCCATCTTAGCCAGAAGTCAAGACATTCACTCTCTTGATGGTGGTGATGGCTTCACAGGTATAGACATTTGTCAAAACTTATTGAATTTTTACTTTAAATATTTGTGGTTTATTATATGGCAACTGTACTTCAATAAAACTACTTTATAAATTTAAATTAAAAATAAAAAGTTTATGACCTGGAAGGGGCCTATGCAAGTGAGGGGTCCTAAAGCGTAAGCCTCATTTAACTTCATAGAAAACCCACCTCCCCCCTTACAAAAAGGCAGGCAATTATACCTCTTTGCCAGATGAGGAAACTAAGGTCAGAAAATCTCACCTGGATCATCCACCAGCAGATCCAAGACTAACTGCCTAGGTTTGAGCCCTGGCTCAGCCACTACAAGTGGCTCACCACCTTGCACAGAGAAGATATTCAGTGAATGCAAACTCCCGGCCCCCAACACAGGGGTGTTTCCTCTTTGGCAGCTGAGGGGGCACGTGCCTGCCACTGGCTGAGACCCTTCCTCCAGACATCCCAGATAACCCACCTCCTGTGCAAGGAGCCCCACCTAGCCCCAC